ACACTACTCGTTGAGGGTTAACTCACTAAACCTAGAGTACTGACTAGCAAACATCTACAGGGGAACCAGAGGTATTCAATGCATTGTCAATATTTTATAATCCAACATCCCGATTTCAGCCTGTCCTGATACTGGAAGATGACTGAAATCTGGAACCCAATGAAAGAGATCTGGACCATTTGTCAGTTTGCAGTGCAGACGCTGCAAATCGTTAAAAACCATTGGAGATGCAAGGGCCAGAAATTGTGTCAGCTGGCCCTTAAAAAACAAATTACAAAAAATAGAATATCACCCAATCAGAATTTTATTTACAGAGGGGGGACGGGACACGGGACAACAAAGTCCTTTGCTAGTGTCCACCTGATATGCTGCGAGTGGGGACATATCCACCAGCTGTTCCTCTGAGTTGTTGGATAATGCCATTTATATAATACAGGGGAACCGGTCCATGATCACAGTTTAATTCTGCTCATCAAACCTAGCGGATGGGGGCAAATAAAACTGAACTCCCATTACACTGTGATCTCTTAGTGAATAGGCCGCAGCCCAGTCACTGTTTTGTTAAACCTCCAGCTCCTGGTCAATGGGGCAGATATTACGGTTAAGCAGCCTTTGTTCTCCTGATAGTTACATGGAGGACAAAGGCTCATCCTTCATCCCACTTTTCTTTTACTTCTAACTTTGTCGGGTGGCCTCTGTATTTGGCAACCCTTACACGGCCACCCCAGTAATGTTATTCTCTGGAAAAAGTGCTGGAGATTTTTTTTTTTGGCTTTGATTATTTACCATTTCCTCGTCAATTTCCATAACTCATATTTTTATGAATAAACCCCAACATAATTTGACTAAATAATGGTGAAATGTTGAATCTCTACTACGATGATGGCTCTCATGAACAGTGAACATGCATATGATGTAAAACTCACAGAGGGGTCTCCTTCCTCATGTTGAAACCACAGGTACGACCTTCAAATTGCAGCTTGATGGCCTGTTTCAGGTGAAGCTGAGGGTCCATGGTAGTAATAGAGATAACTGGAGACTGGACCTTAGCAATGGTAGCCTTGTGTGAAGAGCATCCACCATCATCAGCCTCGCCTGGGGAGTACACAGGGTTCCCAGACTTGCAGGGGGAGTACACAGGGTTCCCAGACTTGCCGGGGGAGTACACAGGGTTACCAGACTTGCCGGGGGAATACACAGGGTTACCAGACTTGCCCGGGGAGTACACAGGGCTCCCAGATTTGCCTGGGGAGTACACAGGGTTCCCAGACTTGCTCTGGGAGTACACAGGGTTCCCAGACTTGCCAGGGTGGTACACAGGGTTACCAGACTTGCCGGGGGAGTACACAGGGTTACCAGACTTGCCGGGGGAGTACACATGGTTACCAGACTTGCTCGGGGAGTACACAGGGCTCCCAGATTTGCCTGGGGAGTACACAGGGTTCCCAGACTTGCTCGGGGAGTACACAGGGTTCCCAGACTTGCCAGGGGGGTACACAGGGTTCCCAGACTTGCTCGGGGAGTACACAGGGATGTCAATCTCACAGGGAGTGAATTTTGCATCAATATTTTCTTGGGGAGAGCATGCTGGCTTCCTGATGTTCATGGAAATATTTGCATGGCCCAGTTTCTTGGTATAGATTACAGGGTCCCCATTTTTTCCAGCTGGGGTCACAGTACCTATTTTTCTGGAAGAACATAACATTTCGTCATTCTCATGAGAGTTTGCAGCGCCCAAAATGTGCAGATATGATGTAGGTTCCCCCTGTTTTTCCAGAGAGTGCACAAGGTCTTCACTTTTTATGGAATTTCCAGTCTTTTTGTGGGAAAGATTCACAGTTCTGCTTGAGGAATAGCCAGAGCTACTGGTTTTTAGTGGATTGAAGCAATTGTCCTGTGATGAAGAAGTGATAGTGGTCATAACCGAAGAGCATTCACGATTACAAATTTTCCAAGGTGTGTACAAGGGGCTTCCATAGTTTGAATTTGTAAGAATCTCGTTCCGCTTCAGTTCATGATCTTGGGAACTTGGCTTGTCTGTGCTAATCTTTTCACATTTCTCCACTTCCAGGAATGAGCTGGGATACTGGTTTTTAACAGGAGGAGTCCTATAATCATTATGGTCTTCAAATGTGGTTATTTCAGTAAGTGCAATTGTTTGCCGGGAGCGGCTGCGAGGTAGGGATTGCTGCTGAAGCTGTTGTGTAAATGTCAGGCTGTCCATCAGTACAGTGGCTTGGGAATGGTAGGTTGATGAGGTCAATATGGATCCTTTAGAACTCTTCAGTGAATTGCCCTGTGAGTGGCTCCCTGTGGACACTGGAGAAAGGGTTGACCAGCTGCCATCACTTCCTTCAACTGTCTTTCCCACTGATATTACTTTATCATGGGTTATTCCCATAGGACCATGATATGGTGGGACACCATACTTCTCCAATAAATTCACTATTGTTATGTGGCCACCTTTTCCTGCAACACGTACAGGCGTACGTCCATAGTGGTCAGCATGATGTGGACAGGACCTCCCCTCTTCCAGTAGCACCTTAGCCAGTTCTTCGTGTCCTTCTTGGGCTGCAATACAGAGTGGGGTGGCACCCTGTGATGTTTGTGCATCAGAGAAGGCCCCGTTGTCTAGAAGAATATGTGCAATGTTAGCATGTCCTCTCCAGGCAGCACAATGTAAAGGAGTTCTCTTTTCCACATCACAGGAATTGGGCTGTGCTCTACCCTTTACCAAAAGAAGATGAGTCATTTCCAAATCTCCCTGCCAGCAGCAGGCATGTAGAGCTGTACGATCCTCAAGGTCCCTTCCTTCAGGGTCAGCTCCATGCTCCAACAGTATCTCTACCATATCTAACTGTCCCTCTAGAACGAGCAGATAAAGTAGAGGTTTCCCATGTCTGTTCTTCACATTGGGATCTGCTCTTCTTCTTAACAGTAGTTCCACAGTTGATCTATGACCTGCGAGAGCTGCCAAGCACAATGCGGTCCTTCCATCATTTGTGCACTGCTCTATGTGTGAGCTACGATTCAATAGTAGTTCCACACAACCTGTGTGACCTTCTTGGGATGCCAAGAGAAATGGTGTGTAGCCCTCATAGTCTCTAATACCCACTTTAGCTCCTCCTTCAATCAGTGCCCTGCAGGAGCTTCTCCTTCCTTGACAGGCTGCCCAGTGCAGAGGTGTCCAGCCTAGCCGATCCCGGTGATTCTCATCTAGGCCTCGATCTAGAAGAACTCTTACTGCCTGTTCTCCCCCAGTTGCTGCAGCTGCCATTGCAAGAGATGATCGACCTTCGGAGTCAGTAGCATCTATTTTGGAACCCCAGAGCAGCAATACCCTTATTACTTCAGCATGGCCCCCAGAAGCAGCTGCCAGTAGAGGAGTCATCCTACTTTTGTCAGCTCTGTTAGGATCTGCTCCAGCCTCAAGAAGCAGCTCAGCCACCTCAGCCTGGCCTTCATACACAGCCACCAGCAGTGGAGTAACACCATCCTTATCCTCAAGCTCAGGATCTGCCCCATGCTCCAATAACAAGGAAACCAATTCAGGGTACTCATGTCCAGCTGGCACACAAAGAGAGGCCACAGCTAGTGCGCTCCTCCCTTCCGAATCACATTTATTTACATCAGCCCCTGCTGCCAGTAAAATCTCTGTCACAGTTTTGTGACCCATGTAGGCAGCTGCCATGAGAGGGGTACGACCTTCTGCATCTGCATGATCTATCTCAGCCCCAGCTGCTAATAAAGCTCTAATTGGCCCCTCATGGCCACCCCATGCTGCTGCTCTGAGTGCAGTACGTCCATCAGGGCCAGATACATCAGGCTGTGCACCAGATGCCAGTAATACTTCTACTATATCTGTGTGCCCTGCCCATGCTGCTGAGCGAAGAGGCGTCCACCCACGGCAATCCGTGTGGTTATGGTGGGCACCATGTTGGAGCAGCATCTGTACCACACTGAGATGACCATGGTGTGCTGCAAGTCCCAAAGAAGTCTGGCCTTCGTCATCAGTGGCTTCAAGATTTGCTCCCCTAGAAATCATCAGGTTTACAGCTTCCAAGTTCCCAGCATAGGCTGCAGCAGCCAGCAAAGTCCTACCAGACCTATCCCTCTGGTGCAATCCAGCTCCACTTTCTATCAGCATTTCCACAGAATTTCCCTTTACCAATGTTCTCCTGAGAGCACTGGAGTCCACCACATTAGAGGTGCTATCCAATGCACCTCCTGCCAAAAGCAGCAGCTGCAGCACTTCCAGTTCCAGAGAAACATTAGAGGAGAGGCATTGGGAGACAGGCACATCTAGCCAGAGCAGCCAAAGAGCTAAGTGAGAGGGTTCCAGCCCTCGCAAATCAGAAAGCAGAAGGTGTCGGGCAAGCTTATGAACCTCATCAGGATTGAGATTTGAAGCATGGACAGAAAGGCTCATTGCGAGCATGCTGTGACCTTCAGCCACACTACAAAGGTATTTCTGAGAGCAATATTTCACATCCAAGAGCCACTCTGAGAAGCTATGATGGAAAAGGACTTGCATATCTCCGAGGTCATCCAAAGGAAGCAGCAGTCCAGAAATAGCGTTCAAATTCTTGTTGAAGTCCTCTGTGCTCCGGTCTGTCACTTGCTTTGTCCACACGGTCTGGTGCAGCTGATATTGAGAAAGGGGCTGTGAGGAGGCCAGAAGAACATTCAGCAATGTCTGCACCTGGCAGAACTGCTTTCCAGGGAATAGTCTTTGGCACAGCCATAAGTACAATCCGTTCAATGTGCCAGGAATGTGGCGGATCTCTCGTAAGAGAATGGAACCCTCTGAAACACCATCTAGAACCCGCTCCAGGTACAGAAAGCAGCCATTACTCTTTATGTGAAGTTGGTTCAGCATTTCCGCAGTGTCAAGAGTCAGGTGTTGGCGAAGGCTCTCCTCACGGTCTAGGCGACAAAGGATGTACTGCTGCACATCTCGTACAACGTGAGCTTTCCGAAGGTCATCCAAGCAAAGTTTTCGAAAACCTGTGGAAATAAACAAAAATGGTAAAAAAAAAATGATACAGAATTATCAGGAAGGGCACAGTGAAAGTTAGAATAGACCACATTATTATCCCATAAAACCACAATTATTTTCTCAAGTTCAAAAGGATAAAAGGCTGATCTGATCCCGCAACGAACTGGGTAATTGACATGCAATAATTGTGATATTCTGACATTCTATTATTCAGTAACCGCTAGGTCGGACTGAATTCTGGGAGATTGTGATACTGATCAGCCACAATGTTAAAACCATCAGCCTAATATCCTGTAAGTCCCCCTCGTGCTGCTAAAAAAAAGCTCTGATACATTAGTGCATGGATTCCATAAGACCTCTGAATGTGTCCTGTGATATCTTGCACAAAGACATTAGGAGCAGAACCTTCCAATCCTACAAGCTGTGAGGTGGGGCCTCATTGGATGGGATCTGTAGTTCCAGCACAATCAACAGATGCTCAATTGGATTTTGATCTGGGGAATTTAGATGCCA